CCTGTCCCTCTGCCCCCTACGACCTCGCTGACCCCTTCTCTAAGTGGGCTCCACGGTGGATGTTGAGCCCCTTGCCTTTCAAACTGGAAAACCCAGAGAAAACGGTGCCCCTGTTGTCACCCCTGCGTCAGTGGCTGTGTCCAGTCACCCAGTCCCTGAGGTGGCATGGGGTCCCCCAGCTGAGGCTGGCATCCTCTGACCTCAGATGACTTTGAGCCTATTTCCTCGGAGTGGGTGAGAGAAGGGGTGCCCAGGAGCCCCCTGGCATGGTGCCTGTAACTGGAATCGCCTGGACCACTCTGGACACCTCTCCGGCCCCTCTGAGAAGCCCCCAGGGCCCCAGACCTGCTGGTGGCCACTCAGGGTGCTGTCCTGGGCCGCCTGCATAGAGCCTCGGGGGCTTCTCGCTCCCCCATCTTGGATCTAGTCTTTGTTCACCCTGGCCTGACTGGAAGCAGAAAAATGACCAAATCAGTATTTTTTTTAATGAAGTTTATGGCTGGTTGTAGCATGATAAGTCTGTGAGGGGTCTTAGTGGTTGGTGGGGGACAGGCAGAGCACCTCAAGTTCAGAGCCTCTGACTCCACTTTTTGAGGGCGGTCTGTCATCTAAGTCCTCCCCACCCCTACCCACCCCACCTGTTCCCCTACCTGGTGGTGCTGGGCCAGAGCCCATGGCAGGATTGGTGCTCCACGCCTATGACTGGAACCTTCTGGAACCCTGGGGCCTCCCGGCCTATGGGACCCCATCCGCCTTGCTGCCCCTCCCAGCGCCAGATTATCCACCTGCATCTCACCTGGGTGTCTTGGTCTTTTATTTTTTGTAAGTGTCATTTGTATAACGCCCATCTTAGTAGCTTCAAACTGGAAAGAAAAATAAAGGAGTCAGAATTCAAGCTCGTGACATGTGTGCTCTGGGTGAGGGCGGGCACAGCAGGTGGGCAGAGATGATTCTGGGGGGTCCCCAGTGTCCGAGGCTAGCAGTGGGGATCCCTGGTGCTGAGGCCTGAGCAGGAGGCAGGGTGGGGGGACCCCTCCTGCCGTAATGCTTAGAGTCTAGAGTTTACACTTGGGAACTGACTGGGAGATGGAGTCCTTGAACCTGCACAGGTGCCAATAGTAAAGGACCCTGTCCCGGGTTTTACCCAAACCCAGTGGAATCGAACTGGTTCTACCAGTGACCACCCTCCATAGGGCTCTGAGGCTGCACTCTTCAGAAGCAGATCAACAGGTCTTTGCAGCCTCGCCTCGTGGTGAACTGTTACCAGCCACCTGGGCTGCTTATCTGCCAAATACGGAAGGATGGAGAATACACCTGAGCCCAGACACCTGGGTAATACCAAGGAAGGGAGGAGCAGGGTGGCTCTTACCTTTTAGGGAGGATAAACCAGTAAGTCTTACCTTGTACAGAGATGGTAAACCAGCACTCCGTAAGACTTGGGATTCAAGAAATAAAGAACTCAAAATCAACTGTCAGGGCTGACTGGTGGCGGGCCCTCCAGGGGGTTTGGGGGGGCTATAAATTGCTTGGGAGGAGACTAACCCATCTTCCTTGTAGTGGGTAGATGGGGCCACCAGCAGACACCAGCATCGAGTAAGGGCACATCTCTGGACAGTGCCACTACAGTGTACTGAAGAAAGGTTTTAAATATGAATTGAGATGATAAATGGGGCCAGTTACTCAGGCTGGTGAAGTGTAGGAGCCACTGACATGGTCCAGACAGCACTGACCCCCCTTCACCAGGTTCCAGGCTGGAAGACTCCACTTCTATAGGAAAGAGCAACTGGTAGACCCAGTCAGTCAGCTGACCTGGCAGCCTGATTACCCCACTACAGCACCAGGGCATGGATCTCTGTAGGCTTGGGGTGGGGGGCCCAGGAAGGAACGAGAACCCTATGGGATTGAAACTGGCGGCCAGGGCAGTGCTTCACCTTAAACCCAGGCCCCCGGGAATCAGAAGAGGACCTTGTTTGACTTCCCCAGGATAGTGCAGCTGTGTGGCTCCGGGCCCTTCAATCTTAGTTGAGATTGTGAATCTAATTCAGTGATTTAGTACTTGGCTGCTAATGGGAAGGTTGATGGTTCAAAACCACCCAGCGGCCAGGAGAAGAAAGACCTGGGAATTTATTTCCAGAAGGACTGTTAGGTGCCCTGAACCGACTTCCTGGGATAGAGGGGAACTGCCCGGTCCTGGGAAGCCCTTTGGGGCGGTCCTCTCCTGTGCTATGAGCTTGCTGTGGGACCACTCGCCCTTTTTACAGGGTGGGAAACGTGTTCCCAGCAAACACCTCACCGACCTGAAGGGTCTTGAGGAGTGACCCTTGCCAGAGGGTGGGACCGATCCGGGTCCTGCCTCCGATTGGCTGTTAATGACGAAACGGCGATGGCGGGCCTGTGATTGGTCCCAGGGGATGAGGCTCAAGATTGACATGGCAGATGGTGGCCTCGAGGGGGATGGGGGCCCAGCGGGGTCCTGGCGGCCACTCCCTCCACTCAAGTCCGGCGGGGAGAGCGACTCCATGGACAAGGAGGAGGGAACAGAGGGACGATCACAGAGAGCCTTCCAGGCCGGGGGTGGGGCGCCCGGGAAGGGCCCCGTGTGCCCTCGGGCGCATCTGTCCACTGACCCGAGCCACGGCCTGGAGTGACCCCACACCGGGCTGATGGCGAAGTTCATTCATTCCGCAAAACTCTCCCCTCGCGGCTGAGGGCCCGTGGAGGTTTGGGGACGCGCCCCCGCACCAGCCTGGCTTCCCGGAGTCCTTTGTGAGCAGGTCGGCAGGAGAGCGCAAGGGAGAGCAATCCCGGCGGGAGGGGCCGCTTGGGGGCCGAGGGGTCTGGACAGTGTCCAGGCCCACGTGGCCTCTCGGCGGAGAGCGTGGACGTCCCCGAGCATGCGCGCAGGCTGCGAGTGGACGCGCCCCGCACACCGGGGTCCTCTCCGCGCGCCGCCCCCGTCACAGCTGCAGGGCCTTTCGGAGCTGGGTGCAGGCTTTCCGGTGATTCCCCACTACGCATGTGCACACATGTGACCCGGCGCACACAGGGACTCTGCTCACGCGGACATGCGCACATGCAAACAGGCGTGTGCACAGAGCCTCGTGAAAGCACACGCTAAATACACACCCACACAGATGTGCACACAGATACAAACAGGTAGGCATACATGCGAGCACAGGCATGTAGTCATGCACGGCGTGTGTGCGCACAGATGCACACAAGACATGCCCAGGTGTGCATTTAGACATGGTCCATCGACACCCGCCTGATATCCCTGAGAGCACTAACATGAAAACAAAACCCGCGGGCACCATCCCCAGCGCTGCCACCAGTAACACCGAGCAGGAAATAATGTTGGCAAGGATGTGGGGAAATTGGAACAATTATTTACCGGTGGAAATATGAAGTGATACAGTTGTTGTAGAAACCTGTATGACCGTTCCTAAAAAACCATGTTCTCTGTCTATCATGGTGCTGCCAATTGGCCCAGTGGTGAGAATCTTCCTTTTTTTAATGTTAAGCTTCAATACATATCGAAAATTGCAGTCCTTGATCTTCTGCAGCAAACGTTTCAGCAAGCAAGGCTGTGTAAACAAAATAGATAAAACACTAACAATGTAATACTAACCAGCCAGTGGAAGAAATGAAATCTTGATGCTACAAGTTGAATGGAGCTTGAAAACTTTGCTGTTGTTTGCAGTTAAGTTGAGCACAGCTCATAGTGACCCTATGAACAAAAGGCCTGAAGCCTTTCTATAACTATTGTCATTTATCAAAATTCATGTTTCCAGAGGCATGTTGTTTATGGTAAGTGAAGTAAGCCAATCACAAAAAGCATCAGTATTGTATATTACATACATAAAAAACAAGAAAAGGCAAATAGACCGAAGAGTATGTTAGAGTTTGCTGGGTAAAGGGGTTAACAGGGATGGAAATAAAGCATGGGGAAATACACAATAATTGTAATAGCCATCAAGTTGTTGTTATATGCCGTCGAGTCACCTGCACTCATAGCGACCCTATGTACAACAGCAACCCTGCTCTGTCCTATGCCAATCTCATTGTCTCAGACACACCTACTCCCACTACCCTAGTCGCTGAAACAATCCACCTCATAGGGGGTCTTTCCCTCCTGCGCTGTCCTTCCACCATCCCAAGCATGACATTTCTCTCCAAGGACTAGTCCCTCGTTGCAACATGTCCAAAGTATGTCAGACGAAAATCCTCATGACTGGGTCAATAGGCAACAGATTTGATTCATCTTGGATCCACAAATAAAATACACAGTAACAGCAATCAATAAATTAAAAGATGCACTGTACTGGGAAATTATGGGCCAAGGACCTCTTTAAAATGTTAGGTGCAAGGATAGCAGTTTAAAGACTAAAGTGCGGAGAGCTCTGGTGGCCTAGTGGCAAGGAACTGCAACTACAATCCCAGAGGCGCATGGTTCGAATCCACCAGATGCTCTGCCAGGGAAGGAGGGACAATCTCCTCCTGTACCAGTCAGATCTGATTTGACGGTACACGCACACAAAAATAAAGAAAAAAAAAGACTAAGGTGCACCTTCTCCAAGTGATGGTATTTTCAATTGCTTGGTATGCTTATGAAAATTAGACAACAAATAAGGAAGAGTAAAAAAGAAGACCTTTTCATTGTATTGGTAAAAAAGCGAAACTTGTGGGACTTGCTCACAAATCCTTTAAGCATGTTGTAGGATGGGCCGAGACCTTCAACGGGGCATATCATACTGGAAAAGGTAGAGTCAGAAAGCGAGGAGAACCCTCAAGGAAATGGATGACGCTGCAGCAGTGGCCCCTGTACCGCGGAGACTGCAGAGGGAGACAAGCTTTCCCTGTGTTGTGTGAAGGGTAGTAAGAGTCACCGGTCACCCAGACTCTACTGATTGCTCTGAATAGGAACCAACTCCTGACTGACTCTCCGGCAGATTTTCAGAGACTAAATCGCAGAGGAGACTGCCCATCTTTCTGTCATGGAGCGGCTGGTGGATTTGAACTGTGGGCCTTTGAGTTGGCAGGGTGACTCCTTACTCTTAGGCTACCAGAGCTCCCTAATCTGCAATAGCAACTCAAAAGATTAGACACAAGTCTCAATGGTCAGGGAGTTTATGTTAACGCTGGAGGCTCAACTCAGCAAAGGAGCAGAAGGGCTGCACCCCTTGAAGAACGTGGTTGCTGTTACTGTAGACGTGGAAATCTGAATCAGTGTGTTTGGCTGTGTCTATTGTCTCCCCTCCTTTTTAAATGTTGTGAAGGATTTATTCATTGCAAAAACTTTTTATTTTTTAAAAAATTTTGGTGTATATTTTTAACAACAAAATAAACAGAATTTAGGGGAGCTCTGGTGGCCTAGTGGCAAGAAGCTGCACTGCAATCCCAGAGGTGCATGGTTCGAATCCACCAGATGCTCTGCCGGGAAAGGAGGGACAATCTCCTCCTGTACCAGTCAGATCCGATTTGACGGTACACAGACACACAAAATAATAATAAAATAAAATAAAAAATAATTTAAAGAGAAAAAAACCCCTAAAACATTCAATTAAACTTGTAAGTAAACAAAGAAGGGCCTCTAAGCACCTATGTGAGTTCTCTGCTTGACAGGTGCAGGTCAGGGCAGGATGGCTGGAGGCTCGAGGGGTGTGGGCAGGCCTTGGACCCATAAGGGCTATGTTCAGAGCAGACAGGGCCTCCTCCAGACCGGACACGCCCACTGTGGGCGTGGAGGTGGGAGGTCCCTGAGATTCCTGAAGGCTATGGACTGTCACCAAGGCTCCTTCCCTTCCAATTAAGTCCTTAATGGGCAAAGCAAGTGGAGAGCAGGGATTTCTTTCCTTTGCTCTTCATGTGCAATGTCAGATCACGTGCTCGTCAGTAGACTGGTGACACGGATCGCTCGCAGAGGTGCACACCAATGCTTGTCCTTCAGGAGGCATGGTTCACAGCACAGCAGGCTCTGGGACCCTCAGGGGCTCAAAGGAGAAGGGAACAGATGGCCTCCTGGACCAGCAGAGGTGCAAGCCTGGGGGAGGTGAGCGTTTGGCCTGAAACCCAAGCCGCTTTGCGGGCCCCTGTAGGCTTAACCAGGAGCCCTGTGAGGTGTGAAGAATGAAGACTTCCTTGAGTGCTTGGGAGTATCTGTATTTTAATAAGCCCAGGAGACAAGGTTGAGGGACCAGGCTGTGCTGGCTTCTGTGTCCCCTGGGCTCCAGGTAACTTCCTTTACAAAGCCCACGGGGGCCTCATTCCTTGTTCCTACTTGTCTCTTTCCAGCTCAGCTCCCAGGCAGGCCTGAGCCCAGTGGTCTTCCGTGCTGTGGGCAGGGATGAGCAAATGGACAGCCTTTAGAAGTTGGGCAGAGAGCAGAACTCATGTCTCCAAATCCTGATGTTGCTGACTGTACATTCCTGGGTGTATCCAGGATGGGAGATTGGGGGGATCGGTCCTGTCAGGACAATGGAGCCCCAGGGAACAACCTCCTGTGTTGAGGGACACACTCCTCTGTGGGGTGGCCTGACTCCAGATTCTCCTGGGGGAGGGTATCAGGAGGCAGAGGGGCAGCACGAAGTGTCACTGCTGCCTATTGGCCACCATGACTCAGCTGATCTGTGCAAAGGCCGCGCACCAGCTCTCAGATCTTTTGTCCTGGTCAAAGCCTTCATAAAGATGCTCTTAGTACATCATTCACTGCCGAGCACCTGGCTTCTGGAAATTTCCTGAAGCCATCCAGCTAGGAAGAAGCTGCCCACTACGCCCTTGATCCTGTGTGTGGGAGCACGGTTGAGTAGCACTGCAATGTGCCAAGGACATGCCAGTAGAGGTACTTGTATAGTGCGCGGCTTGTGTCTGCACAGGGAAGCGGTGGACGTATGGGAAGCAGGGTGGTATCTCTACTGGAAACAGGGTTCCACAGCTCACCTGCTCAGACCTTATAAACTAGGACATAATGGGGACAATGACGGGCTAAAAAGCAGCTGAAAAACAAAATAGATGCCAGTGAGGCCTCTGACCAAAGGACACACCCACGGCCAAGTCCCCCAGCTGACCAAGGCAGACTGAGCAGACTGCACAGACGCATGTGTGTACAAGCACTTACACACACATGCACACAGCACACCATATGTATACATACAAATATACATGTGTGCACACATCCACAAACTGCACAGATCTACACACACACACACACATATCCACAAACTACACACATCCACTCACATCAATATGTGCAAACACACAGATCTACATGGGTGAACACATATTACTTATAAACTGAACAGATCTACAAACACATGAACACCCAACCACAAACTGCACACATCCACATGTGCAAACCCACAGACCTACATGTGTGAACACACAACTTTACACCCCCCCATCTGCGTATGTCTAAGATCTACATCACTCACCCATGTATTGTTAGGTGCCATTGAGCATGACTCAGTGACCCTGTGAATGAACTCAACCCTGGCCTAGCCGGTCATCCTTATCTTCTCTGACATACTTGATACATACACACAGATACACTAGTACAGATCTACCCAGACACACATGCATACATGCATGTGTCTGAGTTGTATCGATTCTTCTCCACACTTGTGCAAACTGTATGCTGAACAAGTAATTCAAGAAGCTGGAGTATATGAAGAATGTGGCATCAGAAGTGGCAGAAAACTCAACCAGCTGCAATATACAGTTGACACAAGCTTGCTTGCTGCAAGTGACTCGGAGCGCTTACTGCAGATCAAAGATTACAGCCTTCAGTGTGAGTTACAGCTCAGCATCAAGAAAACAAGTGCTCACCCCTGGACCTACAGGCTGCATCATGATGGATGGAGAAAAGACTGAAGTTGTCAACAATTCCATTTTACTTGAGTCCACAATCAACACCCACGGTAGCAGCAGTCAAGAAATCAAGACATCTCTTTGGTTGCGGCAACAAAAGCGAGATGACGAAGGGAACGTCATCGTTTGGAAAGCGTCGCAATAAGACGCACACGCTATGCCGCCGCTGTGGCTCCAAGGCCTACCACCTCCAGAAGTCCACTTGTGGGAAGTGTGGCTACCCCGCCAAGCGCAAGAGAAAGTATAACTGGAGTGCCAAGGCTAAAAGGCGAAATACCACCGGTACTGGTCGCATGAGGTACCTAAAGATCGTTTACCGCAGATTCAGGCATGGATTCCGTGAAGGAACAACACCGAAACCCAAACGGGCAGCTGTTGCAGCATCCAGTTCATCTTAAGAATTCCACTGTTTAGTTATGCAATAAATGTTCTGGTATTATAATAAAAAAAAAAGAAATCAAGACATACTGCATTTAAAAAAAAAATCTTCTGTCAAGAACCTCTTTAAAGTCCTAACAAGCAAGTATGTCAGTTTAAAGACTAAGGTCTTTGAGGTCTGATCTAAGCCATCTGGATAATGATTCTGCAGCGTTGGATGAGTACGGATCACAGATCGCTGGGAAAACAAACACCTTTGCCTTGGAGAAGTGAAACTAGGATGCTCCTCAGAGGAGGATGGCAAAGCCTCACGGCCTTTTGGGCATGTTGCCAGGAGGGGCCAGTTGTTGGAAAAAATATCACAGGGAAAGGCTGAGGTTCAGTGAGAGGAAGGCCCTTAGAAGACAGACCCAGTGATCACAGTAACGGGCTCAGGCATGTTGGAGACTGTGATGACGGAGGGCAGGACACTGCTCCAGGCTGTTCACAGGACAGTAACTTGGCGGCACTTAACAGCACACACACCTGTACACAGACACAAGTCTATAAACACACACATATCCCAGCCCTGGGGGCACAGTGTGCTAGGACACACTGCTCCACTGATGGTCAGTACTTCAAATCTACCCACTGCTGTGAGGGAGACAATGTCTATATGCACATCATATGTGTAAACATATCCACATATACAGACTGATGCTGGTGGAGCAGTGCTTCTCGGACTAGGGGAAAGATGAGCGCTTCAAATCCACCAGCTGCTGTATCGACGGGCTCAAGATTACAGCTCTGAAGAGGGCTGCTGGGAGCGGACATGGCGTGACTGCTGTTTTGAGTTACACACATCTCCACATACCATACATACACTGACCTGTACAGGCAAACACACACACCCATCCCACCCTCCAAGTACAGTACACATACATGCACTCACATGTACAGGTACACACACTTGCACCCTGCTCCCCACGTACAGGTATATACCCACGCACACACCCCCACACACACCGGTACACACAGAAGTGTGTACACACTCTTGGCTCTCTGACCAGCATCTCATTTGGAAGCACTGAGCGCCACATTGTGTGGGGTGTGCTCAGGCAGGATGAAGAGGTGCAGGGCCCAAGCCCTACGGGGACATGGCACAGGCAGTTTGGAGGAGACACTGGCTAAGGGGCAGTAAAAGGATGGAAATGCTTGTTAGAGGGGACCCTGGAGGTGCCATTGCTGGATGTGGGCATGTGTGCACAGGTGCCAGGGGTGGTGGAGCACAGAGGTGCTGGGAGATCAGTAGACCAAGGAGCCCCCACCCCCATGAGGGGAGTGGGTGCAGAGCAGAAACAGGGCCACAACCACACAAGCAACTCAACAGAAACTGCCATTGAGGGGTGCGGACGCGCCAGGTACAACCTGGAGGCCCAGGTCCCCCTGTGCCCAGAGCCTGCAGGGCAGTGGCTAGGTCTGAAGTCTCTGCCAAGTTGTCCCCTTTGTTCTCGACTCTGTGTGGTGGGAGAGAGCAGCTGCGGACAAGGAGAGTAGAGACTGACTGTTCATTTGTGGAAGGGAATGTCACCAATTCCCTTTCTCACCTCCGTCAGCTGGCTGTCCAGAGCCTGGGCCTCAGGAAACCCTCAGCAGGACCCGGGTTTCTGGCTGCAAATCTGATCATGCTGAGGAAATCTGGCAACACGTGCTCCAGAACCTTCTACTGCAGCTGAGGGGTGGCTAGCTGCCGGGCTGCGTGTAGAGACCAGAACGCACACAGAGTGCTTCAATGTTTATTTACAAAAAGTCCAATTACATATGATACAGGCTTTGTACACGCAGTAGTTTAACCACCAGGAAGCTGATGCATTCTGACTACTGAAGGGGAAGAAAAACGTTAATAAACTAGTTTTTCTTGCCATTTCTGTACAAAATGAGACCTGCACTTTTGTTTCTGGTTTTAACTCTTCTGTGCAAACACTACATCCTCACTCCAGTTTTAAGGCAAGTAAAGTGGTCTGTCGGGAGCGAGCCTGCCCGTGGGAGGCCGCTCCAGAGTTCTGAGACAAGGGCCGGTGCGGGGTCTCCTGTCACTTCATACTTGGTCCTTCTCAGCAGCGGGCACTGGGTCAGGGGAGGGGCTGCAGGGCCAAGGGCTCACTGGTGGTGTTGGGAGCTGGTGACAGGGCAGAGGAACGCAGAGTGCAGTTGGCTCGAGGGGCTGCAGCCACTAGCCTCGCACAAGGACAGCACTGGCTGCACCTGAGGGGACCCTCGACCCTGGTCTTCAGAGTGCCTGGGACCACTGGCTCCTGCCCTGGGCCCACGCAGACCCTGCACAAGGGTTTGGGGACTAATGTAGCAGGAGGCTGGGGAAAAGGCCACTCCCTGCTGGCTCAGGTCCAGGGCCGAGCTGGGGTTGCCCTCAGAGCCTTTCTGATGGAGGAAGAGGGCAGGAGAGGGTCTCCCAGGGTCTTTATCCAAGGGAAGTGGAGGGACTCGTGTGGGCAGTGGCCCACAAATGGCAGCCTTTGGGAAGGCACTGGTTAAGACTTCCAACCAAGGGAAGCAGGGCCCCTGGGAGCAGTGACCCTCAGGCCTTCCAGTTTTCCTGGCCACTTGAACCTGGAACGACAAAACCCAGCAGGTGGGCATCTTATGAGCTGTTTCTCTTCTACTTCCATCCTTGAAATACACTGAAGCAGCTGCTAGCCAGCCAGTGCAGAAAGCAGGGGCCCAGGAACCGCTGGGCTGTGGTCCTATGTTACAGGACAAGCACAAAGTGTCCTGGGTGGCACCTCAGCTCCTAGGCAGCTGGCTCGTCCCTGAGGTCAGACCTCTGCGCCCGGAGCGTGGGGACAACGGGATGGAAGGGATGGAGCTCCTTCACAGCTGAGCAGAGATTCAGGGCTCTGCTCTGCAGCGGAGCTATGGGAGGCCCCTGATAGCCAAGGGCCTTGCTCAGGATACTCTAAGGGGAATGGGAGGAGGAAGGGAGCCCAAACTTTGGATCCCTGGTTGAGACTTCTGCGTCATTTCATTACTGAGACTGAGGGAGAGGCCCCACTAGTGGGTATGGCTACGACCTCAGCGGACACATTCTGCTCCCCTTAAAACGCAGGGTGAGCTACTCACTGCCCAGCAGGGTCTGTCAAGAGAAGGCAGCTGGGGCTCTGTGGAGACACAGCCACCTGTCAGTCAAGTGCTAGTGAGGGCCAAGGGGTTTCCCAGTGTGACTGCAGAGAAAGAGGGGAACTCCAGTGGTCGGAGACACAGGAGGTCAGAGCGAGGGTGCTGGGGAACTTTCTGTAAACTAGATATTGTACCATGAGGGGCGTGCAGACCTGAGGACCGGGATGGGGAGAGCAAAGCCCCCAGGGTCTGGCTGGAGCAGTGCCCTGAGGACTTGGCCTGTTGTCCTGTGGAGGGAGGGGACAGCCCACCAAAATCAAGGCTGCCCAGGGCTCATCTCAGGGAACAGGCATGAGGGGTAGCAGCTGGGGATAGAGAGCATGGGTGCCAGTCCCTCACCTCCCTAACTCTAGCTGTTGCTTCTCAGTGCCACAGCCGCCCCTGCCCAGCCGGCATCAGCAGCCCTTGGGTTGGAGCTGAGGGAGGGCCTGGGAGAGGGCAGAGGTTGACACAGTCCCCCCAGCCGCACAGCCCTGGCCCTCACAGAACTCAGGGTAGCTCAGGGGCCACCGGATGCAGTCCTGTGGGCTGTTTGGGCCTGTCAGAACCGGTGTCTCGGCTGGGGACCGAAGTGCATGGGCAGATTGTGCTCCAGGGGGACGTTGAGGGGGGCAAAGTCATAGTTGACCCGCATGTTGGGCAGGGGGGGCACGTAGGGCGCAGGGATGGGGCCCATGTTGAGGGGGAAGTTGTTGAAGATGGGCCGCACAGGCGGCAGGGCGAAGGGCGGGTGCACGAAGGCGTAGGGGATCTGCGGCTGGTGCAGATTCTGAGGGACAGGTCGCGGCAAGACCTCGATCCTCTGTACTTTCTCTGGGGGCTTCTCCAAGGGGGGTCCGATGCGCTTGAAGGTGTTCTCTGGAAAGGACCACAAGGCAGCACCATGTCATTAACAGGGTCCCCAGCAGAGTGGACCTGCAGAAGGTCACAGAAGGGCCCCTTCTGGCAGCCTCATGAATATCACTTATTGCAGGTGCCACAGGCGTAGGCTGGGCCCCTCCTGCTGGGTTAGACCTCTCTTGAGGAAAGCACGCTGCGTGGTGGCTTATGCACAATGGGGCAGCACTCCCACCACTGGACCCCCTGAGCTCTCAGGCCGAGTGCTGGATCCCCAGGAATGGCCAGCAGCCAGGGGCTTCAGCAGTGGACCCATGTCCACATCAGGCCCGGCACCTGGAGAACTTGCCTCCGTTCTTTCTCTTCTGCTCCTCCTCGGCCTCCTTCTGGATCTCCTCGATGAGCTTCTCGTCATCTTCCTAAAACACAGACAAGTGAAGAATGAGCCACTGGCACAACACAGGGACCATGGCAGAGGGCTTGGTGGGGCCATGGGCTTGGCCAGAAGCGCCTGCTGACTGGAGGCCTGAACCCACAACCCCAGCACGGCCACCTCACCACATGACAGGGAAAAGCAGGGACAGAGGGTCTGCACAAAGAACTGGAGGTGGGGAGGCTGGGGCCTGGACTGAGCCTGCAAACTGGGCACAGTGGTCTTGTGCAGGGGACAGCAGGCTGCACCACTTCCCCAAGGTGAGCTGGACAGACCCTCACAGGACCACCGAGCCAGTTTACAAGGACATCCTGGGCAGTGTGAGGCCCATTTAAGAATACCTGTGATAGACACTGCCCGCTCTCCTTGACACATATGACTCGACACGCCTGCTGGTGGGGGTTTGTTAGTCTGATAGTGGCTTTGAGAGGCTGGTGACAGAGAACTTTACATGCATGTAGCGTCACACAGGGACCAGAAGAGTAAGAGGACCTCACTCATGGGGCTCAGTAGCCGTCACCGCAGTTCCCACACACACTGTGAACCCTGAGCCACCGTCAACAGGAATGCAGGATTTCACCATGCGGCTGTGAAACCCCAAGTACCTTGGGCCGCAAACCTAAGTTGACATGTGTCCTGAATGTCATCTCCTGACACTGCCCCATGCTTACTGGTCAACTCTGAGTCAACAAACTGATGGCAAAGCACAGGCACAGGTAAGTATGGTGGGATGTAATGTCCCTGTCTGGGCGATGGAAAATGTGGCTGACATTGCATCTGGAAGAGAACAATCACATGGTGTTAAAGGCTCACCACTCCTCTTGGAAATGTGAAGTGGGAGGGACACGAGTGATGCCCTCAGGTGAGTGAATACAGAACAGTGTCACTAATGCTGGCTCTTCAAACAGGTCTGCACCCACAATGGAAAAAACCTAGTGGGACCGCCCCGTTGTGAGGCTGGGACCGCCCCGTTGTGAGGCTGGCTCCCATGCCCTGGTGTATGCAACTGCCCAGGCTGCATTCAGAGGCCTTTCTGGAAAGGAGATGCCAAGGAAATCAAAGCATCAGGATCCCTTCAGCACATCAGATCTCTTCTAAGAGGACTCTCTACCTCACTGGGGTGGATGTCCCCTCCACAGCCATTTGAAAAAACTCACATAGAACCTGTGAATGGTCACAGAAAACACTATCTACATTCTTGTTTTTCTAAAGAAGAGTGAAGGCAGGTTCTGGATTAGGCTGAGGTTAACACACATACTGGTTCCCCTCACAACACTCCTGGAGGTTGCTGGGAGGGGAAGATCAAGAACAGAGCAGGTGGTACGAGGCCAGGGGCTGTGGCTGAAGTCACTGTCTTCTCAAGCTCCACTTTGCTCACCTTAAAATAGCAAAGGAGTCAAAGTGCTGGGAAGGACTCCAGTTCTGGGGTTCCCAGTCCAGTATGGCCTTAACCAGGTCCCTACTCACCCGAAGACAGGTTTGTTGTAAGATGGTGATTTTTGAAGTACCACTGGCAGTGCTGACAACAGAGGCTGACAGTGACCGAGGATACCTATATAAACCACATGCCAGATTCCAAGTCACAGTAACCATGTGGAGCACAGGAAACGGCCCACAGGTCTCCAAAGCTGCACATCAATCTGGACGGGAGGAGATCACCTCAGTTCCTCCCTCTAGTACCTGGTGGATTCAAACACTAACTTGGGGGGGGGGCAAGCCCAGTACCACCAGAACACCTCAATTTAGGAGGTCGTGCACACGCTCACTGCCCTCAAACTGGTTCCACGCCCAGCCCCTGCCCCAGGGGTCTGAGCTGTAATCCCAACCAGAGCACTGTCTGTCTGAGCTGTCGCTGGGCTGGGACCAGAGCCAAGGCCTCCTGGCTAGCAGTGTGGCCGTTGCTGCTGCTGCTGTCAGGTGTCACCGAGGTGACTGGGACTCGCACAGCGACCCTATGTACAGCACAGTGGAAGCCTGTCCTACTCTGTGCATCCTTCACAGCTCTGACACACCTGAGTCCACAGTTACAATGTGCCACGGAGTCACCTCCTCCTCTGGGAGGCAGAATGCTAGCTGACTTAGCTCTTAACCACCAGTCAACCACGCGCTCCCACCCACAGAAACTATCCTCCCATGTCAAACAGGTCTATTTTTAGTCTCTATTTAGTTTTAGAGAGAGTGCATCCTACCCTCTGAAAAACAATAGGGCTCTTTCTCGCCAGGATGGGCAGATTCCTCCAAGAGCCGTTTTTGTCCAGTAAATGCTGAGACATGAGAAGAGGGGCAGGTCAGGCTGCTGACACACTTCTGCCCTAGGAGGGGAGGAACTGACAGAGCTGAGAAAGGGCCGGCCTGGGACATCTCTAGAACAACGTTCCCACTGACATGGGCTTCACTGTCTTGGAGAGTGGTCCAGGTGCTGTCCTTCTCAGAATCCATGCTTTGGTTGAGGCCTCGACTCCTGGAGTTTGAGGGGAAGGCCCAGCAGGACCCTTCATACACAGGAAGCCCACCCAGCTCATGCCACGTTTTAGCCTAGGGCCTCTCACCGGTGTCCAGAGGACAGAACGACTCTGGTGAGCAGACTCTCCAAGCCTGGTGCCATCCCGAGGAGGACCTCACACCAGCATCTCCCTGACAACACCCCTGCTCAGGGGCACCCCTATGTCCAGGGGTTTTCTCTGCCTGGCCTCTTCCTTCACACACATATAAAACTGGAATTTACTCTCACAGAGTAGAAAGATTCTTATTTTTGTCCCAACAGACAAGCACTCAAGATATTTTTTGGGAAAAAGTTTATAAAATAAAATAAAAATGACAAAAAGCCTCCCCAGAAACAGTTGCTAGGAAGGGGGTGCTCAAGCACCTACACCCTCAAGAGGAAAATGGAGCTGCAACTGAGAATAGGCCCTAGGCAGGCTCACAACACGCAGCACGCACGGCCACAGTTCAGGCCACCTCAGCCGCTAGGGTGGAAACGGAGGTCCAGAGGCAGGTCACCGGGGGTCAGGCCCCATCCCTGAGGTCTGGGTCTACAATGCTGGGCAGCGACGCAGAGCCAGAGGAGCCTGAGTGTGACTGCTGGGCCCCTCCACCTGCTCTGCCTTTACAGAGCTGGACACCCGACTCGAAGAGCCTGAGCCCCGCACCCCTTGGGCTAGGTGGGAGAAGCGGGGACAGGGTGTGGATGCTGGGTGAATGGACACCCCCAAGGCTCAAGTGAATGATGACTGGTCCCCTCTTGCAGTCCTTTCCCTGACCTTCAGCCTGGCTGTTCAACAGGGCCCCAGTCAGGCTCCCCTCTGCCTTCTCTCTGGCCTCCTTGGTCTCAGCAGAAACATGCAGAGACACAGGTGGGGACAGACGTGAGCATATTGCCTACCATGAGCAGACCTAAGACTGAGTGTGAGGACACCCCAGTCATCCTGCCACGGCCACCCGGGGAGGGGAGGGTCTTCCCGAGAGCAGAGCTCTAGGCAGAGGGCTCCAGCAGGCTGGAAAGAGCTTTAAATAAAGAGCTGCTGGCTGCATCTAACAGGGAGGAGGGTCTATTTCCTTTTGCTGACTTCCTCTGGGCCCAGCAGGATGCAGGCAGCACTGGGCCTGATCCAGCGACTGGGACACTTGGGCTTCACGTGGAGAGGAGAAGGCACAGTCAGAAGGCTTGAGCGTGAACATGTGTGCGCGTGCACACTCCCCACGCCTCCTGAGAAATGCACTGTTGTGGACAGGGCAGCGCTCACAGGAGAGGAATCAAAAAGCAGAGAGGCCAAGAGTTTCTCATTCCTCACAATGCAGGCTTGGGACCCAGCCAGGCAGCAGGGCCTGGACAGGAGATGACGAAGATGAGACTTTACAAGTGGTTTGAGGGGAAGAACGATTTCACAAAGCAGCTGTCGGTGCTAATCACTGCTCTGGCTGGTGAACAGCCCTGCGTGTGGCACAAAGGTGTCCTCCTTTCCTGCTCTCCGCCACTCTGGGAGCTGCTGCTTCTCCCACATTCCCAGCAGCCAAGCTGACGGCCCCCTCCTGCTTCCTGTGAAGGCGAAGAAGGAGGGGGCTCTGGTCCTCCATGGAACTTTTCCCCTTAAAAACAACTGCGCCCCCTGCTTCCCTTTGTGGTGGGGGTGGGGTGGGACAAGGCAGGCCAGATGCAGCTGTTGTTAATAAACTGCCATGATTTCAGGAAAGGCTCCCTGAGAGCCAAGATTTGGTTTCAAATTATTCCCAGATCAGCTGCGGACCGCTTGAGCAAAACCAGACCCCAACTGGCCAGCCCTCCAGCAGGAAATGGGGAGGGGGGAGAGCAGTTGGCGCAGCATATGCTGTGCAGCTAGCTGGGTGGAGCCGCCCCAAGGGCCTGCTGCGATGCTGGGGGTGGGGGAGGGAAATCCAGAAGATGTGTGTGGGAGGAGGGGGACACTGAACACGGAAATGACGGCCAGGACAACAGTCAGGGTTCCATAAGAGGCCCAGCACCCAGAGGCTCCCCGTCAGGGGTGCCTCCCTCATGGGGAGGGAGGTCGGGGTTGAGTGTGCAAGCTTACTGAGTTGGGGAAAGGAATACCTAGCACCTGTCCCAGCAAAGTTCTTCAGTGACCCCCTCCACCCAGTGTGGGGTAGGAGTGTGCAGGCTGCAAACCAGCCCACTGGGGACATAGCCAGTGAGGGTTTGGGCCCACTGGAAGCCCCCTAGGAGTGAGGGTTCAGACACTCACATGACTGACCATCCCCACCATGGCAGTCAGGACTGGACCGTGTGCAGCTTGGTTCATGCCAAGCTCCCAAGGTCATGGAGAGTAGCCTGTCCTCCTGGGGTCACACGGCCATGACTCCAGTGCCTCCACCACACTCGAGCAGAAATACGGGGTCTGAATGGTGATAGGAGGCCATGTAAACTGCTGACCAAGGAAGCTGCGACACAGCATGGAGGTCAGTCTGTGTCCTTCTGGAAAGAGGAGCCTAAGATGCTCACTGGTCGCAGCT